GCACTTAGCCTTTATATAAAACTCTCTCTTATACATGAGTTTCTTTGGATTTGTTTCTCTAAAGTACCCAGACTAACACAGAGGCGGTGGCTTTAAGAGTTTGATCTGGGAAGACCTCATCGAGAAGGGCACGTTTGAGCAAAGACACAGGGAGATGAGGAAGATGGGCACGATGGCGGTCTCTATGGGCAAGTGTCCCAGGCAGAGGACTAAGGCTCTGCCTTCCTCAGAGGGGAGTGGGCTTCATGGATGTCCAACTGGTTTCTTCCAGAACAACAAAGCAGATGCTGTGAACCTCAATGCAGGGTGGGTGTTTGATGCAGCCCTGGACCCCTACAACCTGAAACCTGTTGTGGCAGAGTTCTTTGGATCAAAAGACAGTACGTTCTCCCCAGGGACCCGGGTCTGTATTGGCTCAGGAGCCATGGGAGGAGGCAAGGTCTTGGTCAGCTTGTACTCCTTGGCCTGGGTGAGGCTGGGATATTGCCTCTTCCTGGGAAGCTGTGAATGTTGTGCCCCTGACAGTTGTGCTGCAGGTGCTGCTGGATGGAGGGACCCACAGTCTATGTCACGAAAGTGCTGTCCGGGCTTGAACCAGTGGGAAGCTCATGTCTGAAAACACACAGGTGTCCTGACAGTCTCTGCCCTGCACTGATCCCCTGCAGGTGTTACAGAGCGCAGGGCCCGGGTCTTGTGCAGGGGCATTTGGGAGAGTCTCAGGAGGTGACTCCTTCTCCACACTTTCTCATTGGCATCATCGGGTGAGAACACAAGTTGTTTCCATTCAAATCCCACAGCGGTTCTCAACCTGTGACCCTTCCATAGGGATCGCCCGATTCATAACAGCAGCAAAATTACAGTCGTGAAGTAGCAACGAAAATAATTTTATGGTTGGGGGTCACCACAACCTGCCGAACTGTCTGAAAGGGCTGCGGCATTAGGAAAGTTGAGAACCACTGGACTCTCATTTGCAGGGCCCTCGAAGAATCCTGGGGACAGCCCTGGCTCCTTGCCCTCACACCTTCCCTTTTGTCTGGGCTGAAGCAGGGGGTGCAGAGAAGGAGGCAACACTTTGGGGGATACATGGTAATAACCAAGCAATCTGGAGCTGAGGGTCTCCTTCAGAACACCCCACAGGGCTTGTGCCCACTGGCTTGGGGGCCTGGCAGAAAAGGAACTCGTTTTATTGCCTTGAAAGGGGCCATTTTTCTCTCTCCCGTAAGCCAAAGTATTTTCATTCTGGTGTCTGCCTGTTTGCCAAGGGGTATGATGCAGGTCCTGGACCCCACCCTACATGTAAATTTCCCCACTGCATTAGCTCTGGAAGACTGGGAGCGATGGGGTGGCATCTTGCTTTTGCCCTTCCTTCTCCCTGCCCCTCTGCAGGTCCACACACTCACTATTATGCCGTGGCGGTGGTGCAGAAGGGCAGCGGTTTCCAGCTAAACGAGCTGCTAGGCAGGAAGTCCTGCCACACAGGCCTGGGCAGGTCCGCCGGCTGGAACGTCCCCATCAACTTGCTTCTCCCAGCTTTGCCGGAGCCCCGAGTGCCAATTGAGAGTGGTGAGCTGGCAGGAGGGTGGGATCCTCAGACAAGTGTCTCCACTCCAGTGTCCCAAACAGACCACGTTGGGGCCATGTAGTCACTACCAAGTGAGCATGTATGATGAACTTGGGACAGGGCCAAGGAAGAGCAAGAGCCAAGTTTGAAACCCAAGTCAGCCTCCTGTGGAGGGCTTGGAGCTGAGTCTTTTCTTCTCTCAGCCAAGATGCATCTGTTTCTCTGAGTTTCTGATGGCCCCACATGGTCAGCCCAGCAGCTTGGCTTGGCCAAGGTCACCACTGAGACCCACTGAGAAAGCCGACCTAACCTCTAGCATCCTAGAAGTTTCCCGAGGAGATGACAGCTCCGTGCCAGCAGTGGCTTGGACAAGGGCATGGGACACCAGCAGGGAAGGCATGAATAGACTGGTGGTATTATTGATTTGGGCTCTGTCTAGGCTCCTCGTTCCGTTGTGACAGCTAATGCGAGCCCACATGAGTTGATGTCGTTTCAGAGATGATGGCTGCATCTCTCTGTGCTCTGCAAAGTGCGTAGCCCTGGCCCACACGTGAGGGTGCTGCTTGAGCACGCAGGGACCACCCGTTTGCCCACTCGAGCACTGGCATTAGCAGCCACCGTGGGTGGGCAGCACACGACTGGCCTGGGCAGACATGCTTCCCCAGGATGCCCCAGAGGGTCTGCAAACCGTGGCTCGCACACAGGGCGTCACACATCCACTCACACTCACCAGCAGAGCCCCCGCCAGCTCATGCCTGGGTTCCATTCTCCTGGCCAACAGTGGTGTCCAGGTTCTTCTCCGGCAGCTGTGTCCCCTGTGCAGACTGGAAAAGCTATCCCCGCCTGTGTCAACTGTGTGCTGGGACCACGACCGACAAATGCGCCTGCAACTCCCAGGAGCCATTCTTTGGCGACTCGGGTGCCTTCAGGTGAGTGAGATCAGCTGCTGCTCCCTCTGACTTTCAAGAGAGGCACAAAGGCACCAGGAGTGGCCAAGGGCTGCCCCCAGGGTCAGGGGGAAGCCCAGGGTCCCGAGTCCCCTCGCTTGGCCCGCCCTCACTTCTAACCCACAGTCTTCTTTGTGGGACTTGTGGGGCCTGTGTGCTTTCTCTGGAAACTACCCTGGTTACACCCTTGGGCCAGGGAGGGCTGAGGGGACAGCTCATTCTGGGACCCTGAGGTCCCTGACAGAGGCCCAGCCTCCAGAAGAGGCTGGAAACTTTAAGTACCCCAACGCCCTGTCTTTCTGCCAGGTCATCTCCTTGCACTGGAGAGCAGTCTCTGCCTCCTCCCACTTCCCCCTCAACTTCCTGCCGACAGTGCAGCTGGCTGAGGAGCCAAGACAATCCAAAGTCTTTAACTCCATGTGAAATGTTTAAACATATATATATATATATACTAGTGTTTGCCACCTTCAAATAGGAAAGTGGAGGCTCTTCTTCTACGTCACCATCCCATTGTCCCCCAGAGTTGCTTGGAACTCAGCTACTACGGCCCTTGCATCAGACTTGACTTTGGCCAGGGGGTTCAAGATCAGTTCCTCAGTCAAGGCCATCACCATTGGGAACTCACACTGGTGTCTGAGAAACCGCCATGGCTATTGGCATGACACCCTACTTCATTAGCTCCTTGCATAGGGTCCCTATGAGCTACTACAACCTGTGGGTGCAGAGGAGGTGGGATTGGGCTGGTTGGGTCTGAATTCCAAGGTAAGGGCAGCCTGCTAAGGTTAGTTGACCTGCCAGGTGTTTATATTCTGCATGGCCTCTCTAGAACCTCCATGCTGGTGAGTAAACAGAACTTGGAGCCAGCAGTTGGAGCATAACCTCCGAGCGGCTGCATGAGGAAGCAGTAGGGCCACGCCGGTGGTGGGTGACCTGATTATGTCTCTACTCTCCCACAGGTGTCTGAAGGATGGTGTTGGGGATGTGTGCTTTGTGGGGCACATGACGGTGTTTGGTAAGTGGGTTCTCTAGAGAAGCAAAGGCAGTGATGCTTGGAGGTGTATGCATCTGGAAAAAGATTTATATAAAAAATGGCTCGCATAGTTGTAAAAGTGGATACCTTCTTTGGTTCAAGCCCGTGGGACAGACATAAGCTGAAGGCTTCTTCGAACTCCCATAGCTGCAGGGGCTGACAAACAGGAAGCAGGGAGGTGAAGCAGATAGGCCACAGGTATGTGTTGAATGAATCCAAGCTTGGCTGAATGAATCCAGGGTAACAGGTCAGTAATGGCTCCTGGGATTGGCAAGCAATATAATCGGGCGTCAATGAACCCCATGCCGGATCTAAGCTGAGCAGCTGAAGTGAGCTAGTGTCACATCTTGTCAATCCATACCAACAGACAGCCACACCCTGGATGAAACCCCCTCAATCATATCGAGGCTGTGGCCAGATTTAGGTCTAGTCTCCCCCGGAAGAATGCACAATTTCAAAGAAAATTTCTCAAGAAGACAAAGACACATATTATAATGAAATGTGCAAAGACCTCGGATTAGAAAACCAAAAGGGAAGAACATGCTCAGCCTGCCTTAAACTGAAAGAACTCATGAAAAAATTCAAGCTTCGAGTAGCAATCTTGAAAGATTCTGTGGGCACAATATTGAATAATGCATCAAGGGAAGATGGAAAGACTACAGAGTCACCTTACCAAAAGAATAAGTCAACAGCCTACCATTTTCAGGAGGGAGCCTATGAGCAAGAACCATTGTGCTAAAGGAAGAAGTTCAAGCTGCACCGAAAGCATTAGCCAAGAACAAAGCTCCAGGAATTGATGGAATATCAATGGAAACATTTCAATACGTTCAGATGAACTGGAAGCACGCATTAGCCTATGCCAAGAAATTTGGAAGACAGCTACTTGGCCAACTGACTGGAAGAGATCCATGTTTGTACCCAGTCCAAAGAAAGGGGACCCAAAAGAACGCTGAAATCATAGAACAACAGCACTGGTATCACATGCAAGCAAAATTTTGCTGCAGATCACCCAGCAATGGTTGCAACAGCACACTGACAGGGACCTGTCCGAGGTTCTGGCCAGATTCAGAAGAGAATGTGGAACAAGGGCTGTCACTGCTGATGTCAGATGAATCTTGGATGAAAGCAGAAAATATCAGAAAGATATTTACTTGTGTTTTATTGTCTATGCCAAGGCACTTCACTGTGTGGATCATAATAAACTGTGGATAACCTTGAGAAGAATGGGAATTCCAAAAAGCTTCAATGTGCTCTTGCAGAACTTGAACATGGATCAAGAGGCATTTGTGTGAACACAACAAGGGAATGCTACATGGCTTAAAATCAGGAAGGTTGTGGGGGCAGGGTTGTATCCTTTCATCATACTTACTCAATCTGTATGCTGAGCAAATCATCGGAGAAGTTGGATTATATGAAGAATGTGGTGTCAGGATTGGAGTACAGCTTTTTAACAACCTGCAAGATGCAGAGGACACAAACCATACCTGCTGAAAGTGAGGAGGGCTTGAGGCACTTGCTGATGAAGATCAAGGATTGCAGCCTTCAGTATGGGTGATGACTGAGTGTAAAGAAGACCCAAATCCTCCCAACTGGACCAATAGGTCACATCATGATAAATGGAGAAACGGTGGAAGTTGTCAAGGATTTAGCCTTGCGTGGATCCACAATCAATGCTCATGGACGCAGCAGTCAAGAGATCAAATAGTGTATTTGATGGGGTAAGTCTGCTGCACAAGACCTCTTTAGAGTATTGAAAAGCAAGGATGCTACTTTGAGGACTAGCCATGGTATTTTCCATCACTTCATATGCATGTGAAAGTTGGACATTGAATAAGAGACCAAAGAAGAACCGATGCATTTAATTGTGGAGCTGGAGAAGAATACCGAAAATACCACGGACTGCGAAAAGGGCAAATCACTTTGTCTTGGGAGAAGTTCAGAGTGCTCCTTAGTGGCAAGGATGGCAAGACTTCGTCTCACATGTTTTGGGCATGTAGTCTGGAGAGACCAGGCCCTGGAGAAGGACATCATGCGTGGAAAAGTAGAGGGTAGGTGAGAGAGAGGAAGGGCCTCGAGATGGATTGACACAGTGGCCGCCACAATGGGCTCGGGTGTGGGGATGAGTGTGCAGACGGCGCGGGACTGCTTGGTGTTTCATTCTGTTGGGCTTAGTGTCACAATGGGTCGGAACTGACTCGATGGCACTTAACAACAACAACATGTGCCCCACAACTTCTTGGCTGCTTCACAAAAGTCCTCATCATGGGACTGACCACACAATGTTAGAGCCTATCATGGGAGAATCCTGACTCACCCTAGTTGACATCAAACCTAATTATCAGAGTACGTAATGGAGGAAGATCATATGGAGCTCCACCCAGGCCAGGGGAGCCGGTTCTTGTTCTGAAAGTTTCCTTCTCATTAGAGAATAAGGACACCAAGCTCGTTCATGCTGCCGGAGGGTTTTGTGTAAAGGGCACTCATGTTGCTTGTACTTTGCCGGGTGCTGAATTTGGCCTTTAAAAGTCCACTAAGCAAACCTTCTGAACATGCAAATAGGACTTACCAACTAATAAAGTAAAAAAAAAAACACCACAAACCCACTAATAAAAAAAATGAACCATAATACAATAATAATTAAAATACAACTAATTAAAAAAGTTTTAATCATCAGATTCTCTTAGCCATTGAAATCAAGTTTCAGGATGAATCACACTCTCCTGACTGCCTCCCCAGGTGCTTGAAATGCCTAGAGCAAACGCACACCTTCCTGGAGTGATTTCAGGAGGCCTTTGCACAGCTACGGTGAGGTCTCTAGCAAAAGGATTATTATCATAGGTATAAATATGTTTTATTTTTTAATTCTTACATTTCAAAAACAACCACCATCACCTAAAGGCAGTCATCCACTCCCATACAAGATGCCTGTCGTCCTGAAAGGAGACTTTCATGAGAGACGGTAAACTGAGGCCGACACGCTGGGTTGAGGGGTGGAGATGCGTGTTGGTGGCCAGTGAAGGTGAGCTCGTACCACTGCTGGGGCCTTGAGTGGCCGAGGTGGAAAAGGTCAGAAGCCATCAGATTGTACTGATTCTTCTCATTAGTTTGAACATTATTAAATGGTTTGATGTTTTTTCCTTTGACGTTTATTTTCTGTGTGATCTACTTAATTAAAATTGTAACCATTCACAGGAACTCAAATTGCACACCTTCCCTTTTAAGATGAGATTTTAAAGAGCCAGTTTTCCTCACAGCGTCTTCCCCCGTCTCTGTACCTGCCAAGCCTTTGGACTGGGTCCCTACCGTTCATTCCCCCAAACCCATCCTCAGCCACTGATTGTCCAGCAGGCGGAAGCATTGCTATTTTAGTTGGGGACCCACTTTGATCTAGGGTGGCACACCAGTCCTAGACTGGCTGAGACTTTGACAAGTTATGTTAATTCTCTGAGCCTCCGTTTCCTTATCTCTAGAATGGGCTAAGCAGATGACCAGCCTCCCCAGGTTGCTGAGAGAATAAATGAAATAGCACCATCTTTGCTGTGGCATGAGGGATCAGCAAATGTTTGCTATCACACAGGTGTGGGACAATCTCAGGCAGCCCCCCCGCCCCCAGGTCGACTGGGATATGAACGAGTGGATATCATCCCCCAGGGCCTCAGACTCCTCGTGGGTGTAAGTGTTTGGGAAAGAGTCCCTGTTAGTCTCCTTCAGGGGAAAAGCAGCAGGGTTCAGCGGCGAGTAGGCAACCATGGTTGTGGTTTCTGCCTGTGGACACTCACCTGAACATCCTCTTTCTCAGAGAACCTGCCAGACAAGGCCGACAGGGACCAGTATGAGCTGCTCTGTCCAGACAACACCCGGAAGCCGGTGGACTCATACAAGGAATGCCACCTGGCCCAGGTTCCTTCTCAAGCCATCGTGGCCCGAGATGTGGATGGCAAGGAGAACTTGATCTGGGAGCTTCTCAACAAGGCACAGGTATCCCCATCCGTCAGCCTCCCCTCCTGCTCTGTGGTTGGACTGGGGTGGCCGGGGGCAGGGGGGGGGGGGGGGTGTCTTCCTATCTTGGCGACGTTTCTCTGTGTTCAGGACCCAGCAGGAACTACACCACACCTCGCCCACCTCATGGACAAGCCACTCTGTGCACATGATAGACTGTACACATGATGGGCGGCAGAGGTCGTGGAGCTCCTGTTGGCACTGCTGGCCCCGCTGACCACAGACCCTCTGCAGACAGAGGCTTCTGGTCTCCTAGGGGCAGACTGCAGCGCAGAGCCCCTACGTGCTCCCCATCATCCAACTGGCATATGCTTCTGCCTGCCTGGACCCTGCCCCACCCCAGAGGCAGGTTCCCAGGCCTGAGCATCCTCTGGGCAGGACAGGTCCCAGGGATCAGCACACTGGGCCTGCTAGAACTGTCTGCTCAGTGCCGGGCAACCGGGAGAGAGTCTGGCAAAGTCCCTGTCCCCCAGTCCTCCCAGTCAGGTCGGGGTGGGGGGTTGGTATGATGGGGACACATGAATCACTGGGCAGAATCAGTCCAACCTTGGGGACATGGATCGGGCACTTTGCAGAAGACAGAGGGACTGCATGGCACGGTCCTCTGGGAAGATTCTTGGGCCCTGAGTGAGCTGTGTGGGAGGGCATGCCAAGGAGGGCAGCAGGCGCCACTGTAATGACAGGCAGATGGTTGAATGAACATGTGGGCAGGTGCCACCATCAGTCAGGAATGATTCTGGGCAGGTCAGCTCGAGTCTTACAGAGGTATTATTATTATTATCATTTTGTGGGGGGAGACCAGAAAAGGGCTGTTTGAAATGCAGCAGGCACAGAGTGGAGGGGGAGCCACAGGACGAAGATGGCTGCTCGCCTGACTAAGGGCGGTCAGAGGACAGAACACAAAGCAGGCTGGCTGACTGCCTGTGGAACCACAGAGCTACAGCCTGGCATGGGACAGTGCCAGCACGCACCCCCATCCCATACCCCCACAGGTCTGGGGGCATCCCTGACCGGTGTCCCAAGGCCACCCAAGGCAGCCACATCAGGGTTTGTCCTGAAGAGAGAGAGCGGAGAACTCCAGGAGTGACCGAGACTGAGCCTTGTGAGGGCTGCAGCCAGTCTCTGCCTCCTCCTGCCTGCGTTCCTTGTCTGGACACTTGTCCTCCATCGCTGCTTCTTTTCCCCTTTGACCAGGAACTTTTTGGCAAAGACAAGTCGGCAGGATTCCAGCTCTTTGGCTCTCCTTATGGAAAGGACCTGCTGTTCACGGATGCCGCCCGAGGTTTCTTAAAGGTCCCCCCGAAGATGGACGCCTGGCTGTACCTGGGATACAAGCAGGCAGCACACATTCAGGATCTAAGGGGAGGTGTGTGTCAAGTTCTGGGGGAACCTGCCCAGCTCGGGCAGCAGGCAGGGGTTGGGGGGTTGGGGGCTGCATTGAACAAGGCTTTCTAGGCACTGGCACGCCTCTCCCCACCTCCATCCGTCTGGGTGCATTGGGGCCACACTGCAATTTTCTGAGGAGCTTCAAGAAAGACCCGAGTCATGAGATCACAGAGAATTTCAAAGACCTTCGTATTATAGAGAGCTCGAAACCATGATGGTGCTGGCCCCTTGCTATGATCTGAGATTGCCCCCACCAATGCAGACAGCAAAATAGCCCATCCTGAAGGGACTGGGGTGGGGGTGGGTGGGGAGCACAGCCACTCTCCGCATCAGGAGCAGGCTAGTCTTGCCCAGCACCTGCCTTCCATCATATCCCTGCGGCTCATTTCTTACTTCCCGTTTCCTCCTTTCCTCCCACTCCATTCCTGTCTGTTACTAGTCTAGCACAGGCCCCCACCCTTTTAGTGACCCAGGAGTTTGGAGCATCCACAGAGGCCAGTCACTGTGCTAGGTGTGTGGGCTGTGCTGAGTCAGGACACCAGCAGGCCCACAACAACACCAGCAGGTCTGTGTCCCAGCTGGCAGGACTGGCCACAGAAGGCAGAAGTCAAGGAAGGCTGGGCGGGTGCCTCCCCTGGGGAGGGAGGGAGGTTAGCAGCTCTGATTCACTGCACCCACCACTCGCCGTTTCCGGGAGGGTGGTGTCCTGGGCGTGGGACAGGCGTCCCTAAGACAGCTGCTCCGGGGCAGGCACTCAGACAGTGACGCCCACTGCGCTGCTGCCTCAGCACTCCGCACCTTCTCTGCCGTCCTAGGTGAAGGCGACTCCCAGACGGTGGTGCGGTGGTGCGCCGTGGGGCCTCACGAGAGGGCCAAGTGTGACAACTGGCACGCTGTGAGTGGCGGTGCCATAGACTGCACCACGGAGGACAGCCCCGAGGACTGCATCGCAGCCATTGTGGTACGCAGGGCCCCTCCTCTCTGGCTGGGCGTGCAGGTACCAAACAGGCAGCAGCTCTCCCAGTTGGGCATTGAAGCCCACCTTTCCAGACCAACGCCCCCCTCGGTCCCCCATCAGCTGCTGTGCCCCAGACCTGCCCGTCCTAGCCTGCCACCTCCCCTGGCTGCTCCACCTCCCCTGCAGGGCAGGGGTCTAGCAGAAATTTAGAGCCAGACCAAATCAGAGACTCCTTTGGGCCCCAGCTCTAGAACACAGGGAGTTAGTTCCAAGGGGCGTCCTGTGTAAGGTCTGCCAGAAATGGGGGTGGGGGGCATTAAAGATGTGGGCAGAATAGGTGTGGATTGTGATAACAAATTGCCTTTGGCAATCCTTTGGGAATAAGTTCAATTTCGTTACAGATGATTTTTAAAATGCCATGCCCTTAGAAAAATGGAAAAGAAATCATTCACACTTCCATTACTCAGAGAGCCTCGGCCATGTAATCTCTGCATTATAAAACTATTCTGTTAGCTTTAATCATTCACACTTCCATTACTCAGAGAGCCTCAGCCATGTAATCTCTGCATTATAAAACTATTCTGTTAGCTTTATAGTTCGCTAGGTGCGCGTAATATTCTCATGATTCAAAAACAAGTTTTTGAACCCTAAAACATAGGCAAACTGAAGAGACTGCACACACAGTAAGATGCTAATCCTAGTAAACTTCCCTGGGACCAAACTACAAGATTAAGAGTTTGCTATTTATACAATCTCCTGAATTTGTCAGTTGTAAGGATTAAATGAATTTGAGCCCTTATAACATTGCCTTGCAGTTAATAAATGTCAGGCATTTGTATTAGTTCATTGCAATTACTGTTATTATTTAAGGTGTCAAGCACAATTGGCAGGCTTCCTTAGACAATGAAATATTTATTTAAAATATTTTTAAGACCTGCATAATATTCAACCAAGCATACCCACCTCATTCATTTACCCAAATTCTCATCATCTGTATTTGTATCGGAACCCTGAGGCACCGTGGGCTACACAAGGTGAACCAAACCCACCAAGGGCTTCTCGGGAGGAAGGTGAGGGCTTCGACCCCTGTGACGGTTCATAGCCCTGCAACCTCACAGGGGACAATTCTTATAGTGTCGATATGTCTCATAGGGTCGCTATGAGTTAGAATTGACTCGATGGCAGTGAGTTTAGAGATAATATGTGTATTATCTCCAAATCTGTTATTCTAGATAACATGATACTGAATGAACATCTATGTATGTATCACTTTATCAATATTTCTGAATCTATCTTTCAGGTACCTGTATAATATATAATTACCTTATTTATATGTTATATGTATAAGTGGTAATGGTGGTTGTTAAGTGCTGGGAGTCATTTCCAACTGATAGCGGCCCTATGTGACAGAGTAGCACCCTCCCCTAGGGGTTCCTCCACTGGTCTTTCTGGGAGCAGGTCACGGCTCTCCTCTCCCATGGAGCGACTGTGGGTTGGAATGTCTAGCACGCGATTGAACCACAGCACCACCAGGGCACCTGCAGTTTAACAAGATATAGTTATTGTAGTACATACTGTAGTAATATCTGCAACAGTGGCAACAGATCATAGTTTGGGAGTGCTTACTATGTGTCAGATGTGTTTTTGAACGACAAACCTCCATGAACTCACTTGCTCCAATAAATAGGTGAGGTAGGTTTTCCACCTGTGCTAGGCATATAAAAAGATATATGTCACAGTATTTAGGCATATGCACTTTGCAGAAGTCAGATGCTGGAGGGTCTGTGGTGTCAAGGTTAACAGTAAAAAGTAAGGAATTCAGTGACCTGAGTTTTAGTGTATAATGACCCTGGGAATAAAGGGGGTTGGGGGTGGGGCAGAGAGAGCTGTGAGATCCTATGGAGCAATTCTATTCTTTTCTTAAAAATCGTTTTATTGGGAGCTCTCACAGATATTACAAGAGGGAGCAATTCTATTCTATGCTACAGAACCAGACGCTGTTGGTTTGTTGGTTTATCTTTTGGCTGGGGTGCTTCAGTCTGCCAACGCATAAAGATGGAGCAGGCGTGGATTTCCATTGCCGATCCTATGTGACTGGAATTAATGAGATAATGGCCGACAACTTATCTCGAGAAGGGGGTGGTGCTGTCAGTCCAGTACATTTATCTCACCGGCCTTCCCTGTATCTAAGTATCTGGAGCTCTGCTCTGCTGCCAGAGGACTGACTGGATTTAAATAATATATGAATTGTTAGTAAATCGTTTCATTTGAGGAATGAATGCTCTAGTGCAAATATTGGTTGAGCGCAGTGCAAATGGGAGTGTGCGAACAGCCCTGACTTCCATCATAAGGAAGAAAAGAAGCTTTGACCCGTGCTTTAAGGAAATTATATGCACTCCCTACCTCTGGCTGGGTGGGTTGTTGGGTGGTCGCAAGGAAGTGGTGAGGGGTGTCCAGGACAGAGCATGGGCCTCAGGAGGGGACACGTGGATGGCCAGGGAGCACGTCCTGGGCTTGACAATTGCTCCTGGGCCAATAAATCCAAAGAGGTGTCTAGTTTTCTGATCCCCACGCTTGCAGGGCAGACAGAGTGGGTGCCCCATGATCTATTTGGATGATTGCAAGGACACATGACATGAGGCCAGTGTGATGGATACAACCTCATTGTCGTGAGAGCCATTTGGTTTTTAACTTCAGAAAAGAAAAGCCGATGCCACGAGCCTGGATGGAGGCCACGTCTACACCGCGGGCAAGTGTGGTTTGGTGCCGGTCCTGGCAGAGAACTACAGTAAGTGGAGGGAGGCGCCGCTCTGGTTTGATTCCCGCTGGGCCATGAACGTAGATGGGGAAACAGTAGTGCACTGACATTGAAGGAATAATAAGCATTGTTAGAGTGGATGGAGCTAGAGCAGCGGTTCTCAACCTGTGGGTCGTGACCCCTTTGGGGGTCAAATGACCCTTTCACAGGGGTCGCCCAATTCATAACAGTAGAAAAAATTACAGTTATGAGGTAGCAATGAAAATGCTTTTACGGTTGGGGGATCACCACAACGTGAGGCTGTGTGTTAAAGGGTCACGGCATTAGGAAGGTTGAGAACCACTGAGCTAGAGAACAATCCCTCCTAGCTAGAAGCCATTACGATATCCACATAGGAGCCAGGCGACGAGAGACCCAGACCTCCCTTACTCAGTAGAGGGCGAGATGTAGGCTTGACCAACAAACCAAAAAACCAAACACACAGTCACTGAGGCAATTCTGACTCCTGGAGACCTTAGAGGGCAGGTCGAACTGGCCCTGTGGGTTTCCAAGGCTGCAGTCTTTGACAGCAGCCTCTCCGCAGAGCAGCTGGTGGTTTCAAAAGGCTGACCTCGAGGTTAGCAGCCCGAGACATACGCTCGCGCCATGCCACCACAGGGCCTCACAAGTCACTTTTGAATAGAGCTGTGTGCTAATGCAGGGTGACGTGTTGTTGGCTTACCCTGTGGCTGAAGAAGGAAGATATCACCTTTTGTCCTAAGTGGGAAATCCAGCCCTCTCTCCTTCCACTGCCACCCCAAAATGCCCCCAAGTGCCCAGATCATGCGGACAAATTTGCACATCCTCTAAGTCAAGCGTCCACTGAAAGATTGGAAGGTAGGGCTGCCAGGTCAGACTTTCCTTTAGTGGATGCAGGTCTAGCCACAGAAGTATCACTCCGGGGGGAAGAGGTTCCGCAGTAAATAGTATTTACCAAACCATGTACAGGTGACTTCTAAAAGCGTGGGGAAAAAATTCCCTATCTTCCTTCTATTTTCCATACAGGGCTTAAAGTCCCTCTTGCGCTATCTGTATTCCCTCTGGGCCATGAACATAGAGGAGAAACCAACCTAGTTCAGGGCTGAATTGACATTCAGATAAAAACCACCGGCAGAGTGTAAGGAGCTAGTGAGTCACATCTTTTCCCTGCAAGCAGAAGCACATAAGACTGGGCAGTGCTTTGTTTTGTGGCCCATGGGGGTCATTCTGCATTGGAACAGCCCCGTTAGTACCTAATAACAATAACAATACTATATGCCAAGCAGTGCACAACACGTTCATCATCCCAAACAAAATAACTCGGTGAGATAAATATAGTAGCCCCATTTTATAGACTAAAGGGGAAATGTTTGATTTCTAGAGAAATTAAATTATGTATTCAATGTCACCCAGAAAACTGTAGAATAATTCAGGGCTTCCTGAAACCACTGACTAGCTTCTTTTCCCTCCAACATATAATGGACATATCACCACCTACATAGCCTAGAGGGAACCCTGGTGGCATAGTGGTTATTATGCATTGGGCTGCAATCCAAAAAGTTGACAGTTTGAAGCCACCAGGCGCTCCTGGGGAGAATGACTGAGCTATCTATGCCTGGTAAATAGTTATAGTCTCAGAAACACACAGCAGGGTCACTATGCGTCAGTATTGACTCAATCATATACACACACACACGCACACACACACACACACAAAGAGAGAAAGAGAGAGACATTAACACTCACAGTCTCAGAAACCCACAGGGGCAGTTCTACGCTGTCCTCTAGGGTCAGTATGATGAGTTACACAGCCTAGGCCTCTCACAGGAAGAAGGCTGTCAGGCTGGCTTGGACGAGACAGCTAATGCAAAGGGATCTTTGCAGAGGTCTTTAATGGTCTCTGCTCCCCTTCAAAGGGCATCTCAGGTTCATTTTCTGCACCTGTCTGAAACTTTGGGGGCAGATTCTGAGATGAAACGAAATGTTCAAATGGCAAAGAGCAGGGACAGGTTGCCATCCCGTCGTTTCTGACTCAGGGCCACACTACAGGACAGAGTAGAACTGCCCCCTAAGGTTTCTGAGATTGATGATCTACATAGAAGCAGACAGCCTCCTCTGCCCCCTGAGGAGCAATGGGTGGGGTTAGACTGCTGGCTTTGCAGTTAGCCGCCCAACCCATAACCCACTAACTGCATCAAGGCAGAATCGTAGCTGATTGAAAACCAGTGACTTAGTTCGTTCTTCTCGTCTTATTCTTGGTTGTTAAGATTGAGATATTGGCTGAGAAGCAAGTGATATGAGCGTTTAATGGCCGCTCCCTTCATTTACATTCCTCTGTCTAGAGTCCAAAGATGGCAGCGAGGAGCTCGGCTCGAAGTGTGCGGATACGCCCACAGACGGTGAGTCAGGACCAGTAGCACGGGGACGTACCTGTTGGTGAGGAAAGCCTTACAAGCAGTTGATAGGACTGCTGTGCTGCTGGCTCAGCTCCTGTTTCCTCTTCTCAGCCCCCCGTACTACGTGAGTATTATTGCCCATGTTATGTGGATGGGGAAACCAAGGCACAGAGACCGGACCTGGACCACAGAGACAGGAAATGGCTGTGCCTGAGCTTGAGAACAGGCACTGACCGAACACCCAGTGTCCTGCAGGTGCACCACATGGCTTCGGGTTCCATGCTGCTTGCCCACTTCAGCGTGACGGTCAGCAGCAGGGCAGGAGCCCAGTCCTGGCCTGTATGGACTGAGTGAGGCTTCACAAGCAAAGGAGATTCATTAACGGCATGGTGGAGAATAAGAGACTACCACCAGACAAGTTCTCCCACCTTGTGATGGCAGATAGGCAGAGGCTCTGCCCCAGATAGCCTGTCCCTCCGGCAGCAGTGTCTGGCCCGGGGACCAGCAATGTCAGCATCACTGGGGAACTTGCTAGCCAGGAACATTCCCAGGCCCTTTTCTAGACCTGACTCAAGCCATCATGTTTTCAGTAGCCTTACTTGCATACGAAAGCTGGACAATGAGCAAGGAAGATCAGAGAACTCACGTATCTGAATTACGGTGTTGGCAAAGAATATATATTCTGTGGATTGACAGAAGAAAGAACAAATCTGTATTGGAAGCTGTGTTGGTCCTGGTAGACTAGAGAAACAAACTCATGGACACTCATACGTGTGTAAGAGAGAACTTTATATCAAAGAGCAATTGTACATTAAGAAAACATCTCAGCTCAGTCCAGATCAAGTCTGCAAGTCCGATATCACCCCATATGGCAATACTAGTCCATGAATTCCTCTTTAGACGCACGCAGCCAGGCAGTGATGCCGAATGCAGGAAGATCACAGGCCAGTGGGTGGAAAGTCTTGTGGATCCAGTGGTGGCGAAAGCATCTCAGTGCTGGCGTGGGTCTCCACGTGGCTCCTCCAGCTCCAGGGCTCGGGCCTCATCAGCATAGCTCCATCAGGCTTGTCATCAGGAATGTCTCAAAGGGAGTGTCTGTGTGCCCCCCTCCAGTGAGCTTTTTATCTCCTTAGTGCCTCCAAATGAGGTCATCAAGCTGCAACGTGATTGACAGGCTAAACCCCACCCTTTCTCTCTTAATAGTCTCAAGTTGACAACAGATTATGTAACTACCACAGAAGCAATGCAGCCAGTACATTTCCTAGAAGTGAGGATGGCAAGACTTTGTCTCACGTGCTGTGAGCACAGTATCAGAAGGAGATCATTCTTGGTAGAGGGTCCGCAGAAGAGAGGAAGCCCCTTAATGAGATGAGTTGGTCTAGTGGCTGCTAGCGTGATTGTGAGAATAGAGCACGGTGTTTCCTTCTGTTGTACAGAAGGTCGCTATGAGCCAGAACTGACATGAGACTCCCACCAACAGCAACCTGAGTCAGGGATTCAGGGGGCAGAGCACGGTGAGCCCTCCAGGAGACTGCTCTACAGTGAAAAGCAGTGTTGTTTGGCCCCTTGAATTTGGGGTTTCTGAGTCGGGAGGTTTTGTGGAGAGAGGCGGGGATTAGAGAGCTGCAGCACAAGCAGTATTTGTGGCTCCAGAGGCCCCGCCCTTTATTCCCCCACAAGCTCTCCAGAGGTCAAAGGGGAGACCCCCCCTGCGCACCCAGCAGCAGCCCCCCTTTACAAGCAGGCAGAACCCAAGCCCCAGCGTACCCTGTGGCTTCTCTCTGCTGTTATGGCTTGGCCGTCCTCCCTGAACTATGTCTTCATCCCCAGCCTGAAGGGTCAGCCAAGTATTCGATACCCGTAATTTGTAGTCAGCAGCAATTCCCACCACTGCGATGTGGTTCGTTTCTGTCGTCGATCCCGACCCATGGTGACTCCATAAAGGCAGAGGAGAACTGCAGCACAGGGTTTTCGATAGCAGCCGCCATGGCCAGGCACCGCAGTGATATGCAACTGTTGGCCAGCGAGGGTGCTTACAGGCCTGCTCTTCCTGTGGTGACGTAGCGGCAGAGGGAGCTTCACCACGCAGGCCTGCAGTCCCCGCCACACACACGGATGAATAATGACACCTCAAGAAATGAGGATGACCCCTCAGGAAAGACACTAACAACTGGAATGGCAAGACCTTGCTGTGCCTTGCAGGGAAATCAATGTCAGTGAGAGAAGGGCTCTGGCGCTGCTTCTGCCACTAGCAGTACTGCTGCCTTACACGCTCCTCCCGCATGTGCTCAGCTCTGGGCACAGCTACTCCCCCAGTAAGTGTCTGCGCCAGGGCGTCACTGTCAGCAAGCTACGGAGAAGAAACTTAGGTTCCTAGATGCTAAGTGATCCTGTCTTGTGGTTGGTGTGGGTGGTCCCTCCCACCCCCCCACTAATCACAGGTTCAGTAAGCACAATTGTGATATATAATTATATTAAAGTCATCGAGAAAATGAGAGATAAAAAAGATATTAAAATAATGGGGTCAGACACATTTCATGGTAGCAATGCTCACCTTAGACCCGCTTGGTGGTCCATGTGGAGAGAGAGGGAAGGGAAGGAGGACAAGTGGAAAGGGAACAGGGGAGCGAGGAAGGGAGAGGAGACGGGAAACCGATGAGAGAGGAGCAGAGAGAGAGAGAGATCTATTGCTAACTCAGGGCTATATATCTTTGGGGGCGTGCAAGCCCACTAATTACAGGTAAAGACATACATCACAGGAAGGGGTTGCACTATAGGTTATACAGCAACAGGAGAGGGACAATCTAGGGGCATACATGCAATAGGAAGAGGAGTGGTTGGGGGTATACATGTGACAAGATGGGCGGATCTTAGATTCAGGATGGCAGCTTAACTGAGTTCGTTTGACCTGTTCCCTGGATCTCCATAGGAACCGTCATCAGTAGGGTGTAAACCCCACCTACAGGAACCAAGCTAATGGTCGCAAGCCTTAGTCCATTGTCCCCAGCAGTAGGGAGCAGGGCTTACCTTAGTCTGGTGACTGATTGCCTTCAGGGAGGATGTCTGTAAGTATCTGACCTCCCCCACACTGTCTGAGGTCATTTAGGATAGAACTGGTAAGAGCCCCTCCAGGCTTGCAGATAGAGACCTGGTCCTTCCTGGGAACAAAGCAGGGGAGAAAGGGGTGGGTGACAGCCCCTTCTTACTCTAAGGGCTCATGATTCCAATCTTATCATAGATGCAGCCTTGAAGTTCAGGCCTCAGTCAAAAGTATATTTCAGGCACCCACTATGCGGAAATAAATATGAGGGGGCTTCAAAAAGTTCATGGAAAATTCAATTATTTTTTCATTCCATTTTGAACTTACATAAACTCCCCCCACCCCCCCAGCAACCCTTTGAGATGTTAACAGTATTCTCATTCTAATCAGGAAGGGGCACGAATGCCCTCTCCACCTAGGATATGCAGAATTGTTTTGGAAGCAAATGCAGCAGAATGAGAGAGTCTGTTGTTTTAATTTGGGGGGAAGGAAGAGGGTTCCAGGCAGTGGTGCAATTGAAATAGCAACTGGTTCACTGCCCTAGTATAAAAAAATATACTGAAACATAGTTTATTATTTCATAGAGTTAATAAATAAGAACAATAAAAGAGGTACACAAATTAGATTATGTAATAAGAGTTTTAAAAATATTAAATAAGGGTGACAAAAAAAAACCCCAGTAAAACTGTTACTTAAGATATTTCCATATTGCTTCTTGATTGGCATTCTCACCTACAATAGTCTTGGCTTTTTACCGGAGCATCATCAGCTGTGTGATTTATCCTGAACCCTCTTTTCAGTGAAAGAGCAGGATCCCATTTCTTTAGAGGTAGGCCAATTAGACAGTAGTCATTGCCTTTGATAGATTAGAAACAGGCAACTTCTCTGAACATTTTCTGTTCATCTTTGAAAACCCCCTTTCTGCTTCTGCTGAACTTACGGCAATTGTTCTGACAATATTTTTAGCTCTTTGAACACTTTCAGGAATTGCATCATTCACTCATAATACCTCGTGGGAATTTGGGGCATAACACAAAGCCGAAACGGATGACAGCGTGCCACCCTCTGGTTGTTTGGCATTTTTCCTCTTTATATGTTTGTTTACTGAAGTAACAAACACAAAGGAATAAAAATGTTGTAGTGCATCAAAAGTATAATGAGTTTTATCAAATGAATAAGTAAATACTTCAAGCATAATCCTAAATTTTCATATCTACAGATGGAATGACATCGCTATGGGCACTTAAAATACACTAACATGTGCAGATGAATGTTTGAAAGAGTAAGGAAGTCAAACTTGTGATTTCCACATCAGGCAGTTGCCCAGCGCCCCACCTTAGAGAGAATTCTGATTATAAGAGCCATTTTAACAACCAGTTTGCTGAACTCAACTCAAAATTAGGTATCCGTTTGGCAGAACTGGTGCAAACCAGCTAGCTGGATCTCACCACTGGTTCCAGGTGATGCAACTGTGAAAAACAGTGATAAAACTGTTATTTCTAGAAAATAATGTTGTTATTAACCAGGAAAACAAAGCACTTAGAAAGAAGAGTCACTAAACTTCTTTCTTCTGAACTTCTACTCAACAAGCGAGGACACACTTATTTGTACAAATGTTTATACGGATGAGTGGTTTCTATTGGGATGCCCATAAAGCCCACCACTCAGAAGAGACCAGTCCCTGGAGAAGGACAGCATGCTTGATAAAGGAGAGGGGCAGGGAGCAAAGACCCTCAGGGAGAAGATGGACACAGTGGCTGCAGCAATGGGCTCCAGCACAGGAACGATTGTGAGGATGGAGCAGGACAAGGCGGTGTTGCAGTCTGCTGTGCACACAGTTGGTACTGCCCCTGAGAGGGATGACAAGAACAACAACAACAATCACAAAAGGAGAATGGTAAAACATGGCCCATTCCTAGAACAGACTGTAACTCAGATGCAGCCAATAAATAGGTTTGCAGCTATCTCTATTTCTACTGAATCAGAAAGATGTTCACAATATATTATTGAGGAGGAATGAAACCTCTTGGAGAACAGAATGCATAGCAGGCCTCAATGAAAAAGTAATAAGTGGGTATATGTAGAAATACACGCATAAATGCATATACGAGGAGGGGTAGCTTAGGTATGTTTGGTCCAGAATGGAATTCACGTAACTGTGGGGAGGATCCTCTGCCCACACGGAGGGATCCAGAGAAGCCCCTCCACAAGGAGACCATTGGGCAGGGCTGGATGCCGTAGCCCTTGAACCCATTTTCTGAGGACCCTGGAGGTATTGAACATGCATCTTGTATCTCGGTCACAGGTTCTTATGCTGTAGCAGTGGTTAAGAAGTCAGATGCCCACCTCACCTGGGACACTCTGAGAGGGAAGAAGTCTTGCCACCCCTCAGTTGGCACGTCTGCAGGCTGGCACATACCCATGGGCTTGCTATGCAACCAGACCACATCCTGTAAATTGGGTGAGTGCATTCTGGGAGGGGTTGTGGCACTCTCTTCTTCGAGGTCTTGCCCACAAAGGGCAGAGACTCATTCCGTGAAGAGGTAGGAGGGCCCCACATGGAGTGGTGGGGTGGTCAGGGTTTGACAGACATTGTGGGCAGGCAAGCCTCAGGTGAGCCTCACCTCGTGAGCTTCAAGAGGTTTGCCCCAACCATCTCCTTCCTCTCGCTTTGGAGGGGAGGGGTTTGGGCCCAGAGGGCAGAGAGCAGGGAATTAGACTGATTCTTGACATTTAACAAAAAGGCTCAAGGAACAAGCCTGCAGTTTCAAAGCAAGGGTGTGTGTATGCTGTTTGCACATAAAAATAGTATTGATTTCTTTCTTTTTTTTTACTTAAACATTTTAATGGGCTCATACAACTGTTATCGCAATCCATACACACATCCCTTGTGTAAAGCACATTTGTACATCATTCTCAAAACATTTTCTTTCTTAAGAGAAAATCTTTTACCAGTCAGTTCTTGAGTGCCTCCATGTTCACTTTTATACTTGCTCATCTTTCATAGATTCCACACACTTAATTAGCAGCACACTTGCCAAGATCTAAAACACCCTCACTCCTCTGCTTTCTGGCCCCGTCTCACGAATCCAGCCCTGCACCGGCCCTGTCGCTCCAGCTCTTCACCCTGGGAGGCTGCGTAGCTGAGCAAGGTGGGATGTAGTTCCCTCTGTAGGAACACTCCAGGCCCTGGCCCTGGTGGACCCCACCCCTCACGAGCCCCCTGCTGGTCTTCTGCTCTACCATTTATTTTCTGCATTTCCCAGCAATGATCCTAACGTCCTTGTTGGCCATCACCCTAAACCCATATCCACTTTCCACTCTGGCTCAGCAGACCCTCTGTGGGAGAAATGACAGCCATCAGAGAATCCACCCCAGAGCAGAAGCTGCGGGCCTCCCTCCCTCCCCAGCAGCAGCCTCTACCTGCACTTGGCTAATGGCCCTTCCTTCCTGCTCTCCAACAGCCTCAGATCCCCCTGCTCCCTCTGGGATAGCCAACAGTGTCTCCCAACATGGAAACACACTCTTTGTCTTCTATTTTTAAGACACATCCCCTTTACTACTCTTTCTCTCACTGCCATCGACTCTGTTGCAACTCACAGTGATCCTATAGGACAGGCTAGAACTGTCTCTGTGGGTTTCCAAGACTTTCCTACTCTTTACGGGAGTAGGCAGAAAGCATCACTGGTCTCTTGTGGAGTGGCAGGTAGTTTTGCACTACTGACCAAAGTGTAGTCTCCTATGCCCCTGGGGTTCCTCCTTCACTACCAACTTTCATGAAAAAGGACTGTCTGAACCACCCTCAGTCCACTCACTCCCCAATTCCCTGCCATCTGGCTTCCCTCAGTCCTCCACAGGAAGAGCTCTGACCACGGCCACCAATGGCCCCATGTGGCTCAGTTGGAAGGATGCTTCAATCCGTTCCCTCTGCTACCTTTCAAAGGTGTTTCTTCAGATTGCCTCAAAATACACACACGCTTCCCATGGTCTCTGAAAACACACACATTTCACGTGTTTCTCTTGGCCCTGCAGCTGTTGGCTTTTCCAACTTAGCTAATCCATATTTAGTTGCTTCAAAACAATTCTTGCCCCACCATATTGATCCCCAAGCCTTCTTGCCCATGCCTACAGCTGTGATGATGACCAAAACTTCTACCTGAGGGTCTTCGAGATGTTTGTGTGAAAATGCAAGGAAAAGATCGAGGAATTCTTCCTTGAATGGTTTGGAGCTCCCTCGTAGGTGCAAAGCAAGGCACATGGCCTAGCTAGGTCAACAAAGCTCAGCAAGTCACAAACCTAGCTAGGTTTCGTGATGTCCTAGATAACTAGATGAAACGGCAGTGTGCTGCTGCCATTATGATTATATTTGTATGTTGATAATAAGCACGTCGTTATCCCTAGCAGAGGTCTCTCCTTGGCCTCCAGCCATGTATAGATATAAGTACTGATTTGACTTATTTAATCAGGATTCATGGTGGTGCAGTGGTTAAGTGCTCAGCGGTTAACCCAAAGGTTGACAATTTGCAACCCCCCACCCCCGCTGCTCCTTAGGAGAAAGACGTGGCAGTCTGGTCCTATAAAGATGACGGCCTTGGAAACTCCATGAGACAGTTTGACCCTGTCCTTTAGGGTCACTATGAGTCAGAATCGCCTCAGAGACAATGGGTTAGTCAGATGTCTCAAAATCATATTAAGTTCAACCTGTCCAAACCTAAATGGATCATCTCTCCTGCCACGCCCAGTCCTGTTCTACTATTACACGCAGCCTAGTGGAGGACCTCCACGCTCCCCCTGTTGCTCCCGTTGAGCATGTAACTGTCACAGCCAGCCACCACCAGCCAGATCAATGTCACCTCCTTCCACCTGGCTCCATCCTCCTTGCATGGTTCTGCGCAAAGAGACCCACATCTCCCCGGGCCGCTGCAATACTTGTTTCCAGGACCCTCAGCTCCCTCTAGGGGTAAGATTGTCAGCTGCTAATTCCTCCAAAGTGGGAAGCTGATTCCTTAGTCTCTCTTAGTCTGGAAGCTCTGCGGAGACCTGTTCACTCTGGGTGACCCTGCTGGTATCCGAATACGTTATTTTGCATGGGTTGGGAGGTGGGGGTGGGGAAGGGCAGCATTTGGAAACCGCCAGCCTGTCTTTGGGAGAAAGATGAGGCTTTCTATTTCCATGAAGAGTTACCTGACGTCGGCCCGTTGTCTCTCACGGCTTTGCTGTAGGCGCAGCCCCGGTGGCGTCTGTTAAGTGCTGTGTTGGGCCTGGTCCCCCCGGCCTTTGCAGGTGCTGCCGCTCTGTTGTGGGAGCTCTTCTCCCTGGCCCCTTCACTTGGGTAACGCCTCCTCATTGTTCATCTTGCAGCGTGAGAGTGCTCCCTGGCTGCCGGGTTTGCCCCTGGTCCGTTTAGCTGCAGCCTCCTGGAACCACATTCTCTTCCCCCAGCGTGGAGAGCATGTGGTACTAATTCCACAGCCAGGACTGCCACTGTCCTCCCCTCGCTGTGCCTGCCCGCTGCTGCACTACTGCCCCAGGGCAGGGCCAGGGTGGGCTTCAAGGAGCGCACGGAGCCCTTGCCCAACTGCTGCCAGTGCCCCTTGAGTTTCCGCCAGGTGGAACCACTCTGGATTCCGTCAGGTTCTTCTTGTGAACCACGTGGTCCCAAATAGCTGAATGTGGCTTTCCATCGTCTGGGTAATTATAGGCGCTGTAACCGGGTAATGGGGGCGTGTTGTCCTTGTGCACAGATGAATTCTTCAGTCGAAGCTG